ATAATGATAGCTATTTTTAAGATTTTCTTTCGGCCATCTGGAAATAATCAAACTACATAGAAAATATTCTGAACTACCACTACCTAATTTTTGAATGCATGATTAAGTTATCAAATAGCAACAAATAAAGCAATAATATATACGGATAAAATTCTTCCTTTCAAAGACACCACAGACAATGTTTAATTGTAAAGAAAAAAGGACTTTAATCAGTATTAGATATTATTTTAAATGACGGATATAATTCAAGTTCATTATGAATTATTTTTGCACTCAATGCGTTTAAAAATATTTGCGTAATGCCAACAAACATCTGCAATATTCTTATTATGAGCCATTTATTCATAAAAAAAAATCTTATAAGTATAACTGGATCTCCATATACAAAGTTTATCACTCTTTTCACCTACTTTGTGTAAATTACAGATCCTCCATTAAACAGGAGGGCTCCAATTTTGCTACTAACATACTTGCGCAGTGGATCAACATTTACAGCTGACGTCATACAACAATCCCCGGATGTGTTTTATTTATATGAACCCCTCAAAGCTTTCACAGACCAATTTTATTTTACTCAGTCAAAATTATGTTCTTTTACAAACAAAGGATGCAGGTAATTTGTGTACATAGATTATTTTATTGTTAATTTTATTGTTAATAAATCACAGGAAAATACACATTTGTATTTCTATAATCGAAAAAAAAACTGAATTCATAATGAACATTTAAAAAAGTTTTCGATAAACAGTTACTTAAAGTCATACTTCGATTTTTTTGTTAATAAACACCAGAGAATATCATATATCAAGAATCATATATCAAGAATAAATTGCATATTGAAGACACAGTGCTAAAACTAGTCATATATTCCAACACTATAAGTGTCTTCTATGGAATAGAACCGCATATATAATCAATTGCATCAAAGGAAGACATTTCAATCAATTTGTAAATTATCTATATAAAGTAATGATACAAATAATAAGTTCTTATAATTTTAGTCTAATAATTTTCATTGTACATACGCCAATTTGTAAATTATAATTCTCTTCTTTTTCAGACTACCTAAAACAAAACTTGAAGATGGAAGTTATGTAGTGCGGAATATTTTAAACTTATTTTTATGCGATTTCCAGCAGGTTGATAAGCACATTCTACGAGTCATGACCATGCCATCTATGAGCAACACACAGGATCAATATGGCAATTGCTTAAAAAGTAAAAATGCCACTAATAAAGTTGAGTTGTGTACACGTAAATTGCAGGAGATGTGTGTCAACAAAAGTGTTTTTATAAAAACAATACGGCTCTCTATGGAAGTCGTCGCTCTTCTTCTTGAACTAGTTCCAGATCTGAAGGTCATACACCTGATCAGGGATCCGCGAGGGGTCATGTTTTCCCGATATCGAGGCCGCTTTGTGAATGACACAAATTTAAGAATGAGTGCCAAGTCTTTTTGTAATAGAATGCTGATGGATATCATGAGAAGTTATTATTTAAAGTTAAAATTTCCTCACAAGATAAAAACACAACTGTATGAATATCTGGCTGAAAATCCCTTGGAATCAATGTACGATCTGCATAACTTCACAAATACAAAAGTTTTACATTCTATGAAGTCATATGTGTATAATCATACGATGGCTGGCCAAACAAACAGAAAATATTATAATACTGTCCGAGGAAACTCTACAGTGACATCCATAACGTGGCGCATGCGCATGAAGTGGGAGGCTGTGCAAGTTATAGACAGCGAATGCAAGGAATTGTATGATCATGTTGGATTTATTCCATTTTCAAACAAGGCTCAGCTTACTAATTTATCATTCAAGACAAGGAAAAAAGAAAGTCCACTTTTTGAAAAATTTTAATTTTGTTTTCGTTTGTTTTTTATGAATTAAATTTCAATGAATGTATTTTAAATTGATTTTAATTATTTTTCCATGATGACGAAGTTCTTTATGGATGCTTCTGTTTCTTTCAATTATAAATTATCAAATACAATTTATCATTGAGTCCAATGCTGACTGACGTTTTTCATACTAATTGTTAGTCTATTGCATACACATGTACACTGAATTGTCGCCGGATTTTCCCATTATTTCCCGATCATGATAAGGAGCAACAGCGGGTGTTACTGGTCGGCAGGGGATGTTCACTCCTCCAACATCTTTATAACTATCAACTTCCAAGTACTTAAATATGTACAATAAAATTTGCTTTAATGAAACACTTTTGCAAATGATTGATAACAAGATAAGTACCTATATATCTTTATAACTATCAACTTCCAAGTACTTAAATAAGTACAATAAAATTTGCTTTAATGAAAGAAAGATATGGAGATAACGAACAGTATTCAATATCAAAGTCCATAAAACAATACAAAAATATACATATGAATACAAAAATAGGTCTGCTAATAACGGAGCGCTATTGGTTCCCATGTGAATTCCAATAGATTGTTGGAAGACCTGGTCACCAAAAAAAAAAAAAAAAAAAAAAAAAAAAAACACATAGATATTGTCAATCAGAAACTCGAGCATCTTCTTGATGTCAACTCCAGAGTACTTGTGTGTGCAATCAGAATCTTTTTTAACAAAATAATTTTGCAAATGACCAATGACCAGGTAAGTAAATTTACGAGTTCAATTTTTATTGAAGAAGCAGCTGTCAATGATATCAAAAAGCATGGATTTTAATTTATCGTGGGGGAATGGTTGTGTATAAAGTTGAAAAGTCGTAAGTTTTTAAGCTGTTGATTTTGGTAAAATCTTATGATTTCAAATTGTCCAAAAGTTCTTTGGAATTTTTTATTATCCATATCTGATTTACACCACTTTTCGAATATATTGTTGCACAGCAGTGTTCTTGAAGTTTTTCCTTCACTACTGTCATTATCTTAGTGAGGAGTAACGAAAGAGGCTTGGTTGAACTTTACTGGAACCCGCAATGTATCTTTGTTTGTAAGGATTCTTATGAAGTTTCGGAATCCAATATATATAAGGTAGTTTAAATTCATTTTGGCTCTGTGGAATATTAAAAAAATTCAAAACTGACATATGATTTTGAAGAATTTCTTCCTTAGACAGGGAAGTATGAGTATAAGTAGAAATGCCACTTGTAGAATTAAATCTTCTAGAATACAATTTATATAACGAGCCTTACAAGCTTTGTCGGCAGGGACCAGTACGTAATGATCATGTAATCTATCTAATTCTTTTTTCACTTCTGGTTTATTGAAGCACTTTTGCAAATGATTAATAACAAGTTAAGTAAATTGACGAGTTATATTTTTATTAAAATAAAAACAAAGCACCTGTCTATGATGTTAAAAACCATGGACTTCCAGTTTATCTAAGGGAATGGTTGAATAGAGTTTTGAAAAATCGAATAATAGAGGCAAATTGAAAACATAAGGAAAGTATAATTTCATAAAAGAATCAACACTTGAGCACCCCGAGAACCTTGACGCAGAGATGTTAATTTTAAAATCTTATTTCAAAATTCATTGAAATATCCACTCAACGACAATGCCAATAATTCGCAATAAAGTTTTTTTCTTTCACCAAAGAAAGTGGAAGAACATCAATGATTGCGAGCCTCGAAGCAAACCTGGACTCCCTAAGTAAGGGATCCCTTTGGCTGGTAATAAAATCAAAAAATTAAACTATACATCTATTTGACATGTATTTTTTACACTCATTAAAACATTAATAGAGTTCCATAAATTTTGGTAGAAGGGGGGGGGGGTTGATCACTTATACTAAATCAAAAAGTTGGAGATATTTAAATCGAAGGATCTTATGAACGTCTAAAGCAAACGACAACTTAAGGTTTGTTGGCAATTTCCTGACGTACACTAGAAAAGAAGGCAACTTTAAAATCTTCACTATTATAGTTTGCAGTTAAGTGTGAAGTTTTGCGTTACGTCACGATCTTTTTCGCCAGATGCTTCCAGCGTTAACAATTCACGTGATTGCTCAACATATATTATCAACATTGACACGGAAATAGTCTGTTGCACGAGCAACCATCAGGGATAAGAAGAAACTTCCAGTTGTAAAGCTTGCGGTTAGGAGGCGTGTACAATTTACCTTGAGCGCAGCTGTCAACTAGATCGTGACGTAACGTAAAACTTCACACTTAACTGCAAACAAATATAAATATCTTTGAGGAAAAAAAGTCCCTAGAATAATCAACAGTGAATGTAGTGACTGCTCATTGTTTTATGCTTGAAAACACGGATGGCTTTGGGGAAAATGAGAAGTTTAACATTTGCAATTTATTTCAACCTTTTTTACCTCTTTAAATGTTATAAAACTGATTACATCAGGCTCCTTCTTTGACATTCTACGCTGCCAGAATAAGGAATTTTCACAATCCCTTAGAGATTCTTGAGACACTGAGTTTAAAGATCAATTCTTTGAAATTTACGCTCTATCGAAATTTCCGAATTAAACATTCCATTACAGGAATGAGTTCATTAAAGATCCGCTGACAATCAATAGTTAAGTTAATAAAGAGAGAAAACCATATAAAGTGGAGCACTGCGGGGACGAAGATCCTTGTTTACCATTGAATTATGTGGTAAAGTAAAAATACGTTATGGATAGAAATGTTGAATAGATTCTATATAAATTATTGATATCTTGGGAAGATATGGAGACATTTCTATTATTACTTGATCGGAACTATTGTAGATCAGAAAAATACCAGCCGTGTCATTTCACCTCGGCTCTGCTGCATGGAATATTTGATTGGATAGAAGTATATAAATTTGGAATTATATAATTTTTAAAGATAATTTTACGCATTTAGAATTTAAAACTAAACAAATATGGAATTTTACTTTAACATTGCGTTTTAATGTTCTTTGTTAGAACACGAATCAAAAGAAAACATTCCAATGGAGAATGCAACGGAGAGTGTCAAAAATGACGTTTCTGGATATCGAAAAATTCATGGCTTCCTGTGTGTCGTTGTTTGCACAATAGGAGTCCTTCTTAACAGTGTTAATTTCTTAGCCTGGACTAGAAAAGTTCCAGCGGTATCCGATACCCTCCTCTCAACCTTAGGAGTGAGCGATGGTTTCTCGGTGTTATCATATTTAATATACAGTGTTTACTTCTTTATCGTCTCTGAACCGAATAAAAACATGTATCATTCACAAAATGGGATGTACTTGGTTATGATAAGTTTCCACGCCTTCCTAACTTTTCATATGTTCTCAAACTGGCTTACTCTCTCTTTAGCGATTATTCGTTATCTTCAAGTATGTAGAGGTTTTACTCAAAAAAGAATGTGTTCAATGAAAACAGCCAAATTTATAACATTCGTTGGTGTTATATCAACTGTCCTGGTAGCTTTGCCGTTTTATTTCTATTATGAAATCTATGACCTGAATGTTGAATCAACAAATCTGAGTGGATTTTGGATCAGAAAAACAGATTTTACTGCCGATCATTCCCATGAGTTCCAAATTCCTCTTTTATGGTTATATGGTGTAGTATTTAAATTGGTACCGTGTACCCTTATGATTCTTCTTAGTGGGAGTATGGTGAATTTCCTTCGTCGAGCAAAAAAGAGAAAAGACCTTCTGACGAATAGATCCATTTATCTAACTAACAGAAGAATTTCCATGGAATATAATAGAACTACTCTCATGCTTGTAACAATTGTTATGATATATGTTCTGTCTGAGACTCCCATAGCTATTTCGGCCTTTTTATCTGGCCTTCAGAGATCTGAAGGCCACTTATGAACCCCTCAAAGCTTTCACAGACCAATTTTATTTTACTCAGTCAAAATTATGTTCTTTTACAAACAAAGGATGCAGGTAATTTGTGTACATAGATTATTTTATTGTTAATTTTATTGTTAATAAATCACAGGAAAATACACATTTGTATTTCTATAATCGAAAAAAAAACTGAATTCATAATGAACATTTAAAAAAGTTTTCGATAAACAGTTACTTAAAGTCATACTTCGATTTTTTGTTAATAAACACCAGAGAATATCATATATCAAGAATCATATATCAAGAATAAATTGCATATTGAAGACACAGTGCTAAAACTAGTCATATATTCCAACACTATAAGTGTCTTCTATGGAATAGAACCGCATATATAATCAATTGCATCAAAGGAAGACATTTCAATCAATTTGTAAATTATCTATAATTCTCTTCTTTTTCAGACTACCTAAAACAAAACTTGAAGATGGAAGTTATGTAGTGCGGAATATTTTAAACTTATTTTTATGCGATTTCCAGCAGGTTGATAAGCACATTCTACGAGTCATGACCATGCCATCTATGAGCAACACACAGGATCAATATGGCAATTGCTTAAAAAGTGAAAATGCCACTAATAATGTTGAGTTGTGTACACGTAAATTGCAGGAGATGTGTGTCAACAAAAGTGTTTTTATAAAAACAATACGGCTCTCTATGGAAGTCGTCGCTCTTCTTCTTGAACTAGTTCCAGATCTGAAGGTCATACACCTGATCAGGGATCCGCGAGGGGTCATGTTTTCCCGATATCGAGGCCGCTTTGTGAATGACACAAATTTAAGAATGAGTGCCAAGTCTTTTTGTAATAGAATGCTGATGGATATCATGAGAAGTTATTATTTAAAGTTAAAATTTCCTCACAAGATAAAAACACAACTGTATGAATATCTGGCTGAAAATCCCTTGGAATCAATGTACGATCTGCATAACTTCACAGATACAAAAGTTTTACATTCTATGAAGTCATATCTGTATAATCATACGATGGCTGGCCAAACAAACAGAAAATATTATAATACTGTCCGAGGAAACTCTACAGTGACATCCATAACGTGGCGCATGCGCATGAAGTGGGAGGCTGTGCAAGTTATAGACAGCGAATGCAAGGAATTGTATGATCATGTTGGATTTATTCCATTTTCAAACAAGGCTCAGCTTACTAATTTATCATTCAAGACAAGGAAAAAAGAAAGTCCACTTTTTGAAAAATTTTAATTTTGTTTTCGTTTGTTTTTTTATGAATTAAATTTCAATGAATGTATTTTAAATTGATTTAAATTATTTTTCCACGATGACGAAGTTCTTTATGGATGCTTCTGTTTCTTTCAATTATAAATTATCAAATACAATTTATCACTGAGTCCAATGCTGACTGACGTTTTTCATACTAATTGTTAGTCTATTGCATACACATGTACACTGAATAAAATGTCGCCGGATTTTCCCATTATTTCCCGATCATGATAAGGAGCAACAGCGGGTGTTACTGGTTGGCAGGGGATGTTCACTCCTCCAACATCTTTATAACTACCAACTTCCAAGTACTTAAATATGTACAATAAAATTTGCTTTAATGAAACACTTTTGCAAATGATTAATAACAAGATAAGTACCTATATATCTTTATAACTATCAACTTCCAAGTACTTAAATAAGTACAATAAAATTTGCTTTAATGAAAGAAAGATATGGAGATAACGAACAGTATTCAATATCAAAGTCCGTAAAACAATACAAAAATATACATATGAATACAAAAATAGGTCTGCTAATAACGGAGCGCAATTGGTTCCCATGTGAATTCCAATAGATTGTTGGAAGACCTGGTCACCAAAAAAAACAAAAAACACATAGATATTGTCAATCAGAAACTCGAGCATCTTCTTGATGTCAACTCCAGAGTACTTGTGTGTGCAATCAGAATCTTTTTTAACAAAATAATTTTGCAAATGACCAATGACCAGGTAAGTAAATTTACGAGTTCAATTTTTATTGAAGAAGCAGCTGTCAATGATATCAAAAAGCATGGATTTTAATTTATCGTGGGGAATGGTTGTGTATAAAGTTCAAAAGTTCTTTGGAATTTTTTTATTATCCATATCTGATTTACAGCACTTTTCGAATATATTGTTGCACAGCAGTGTTCTTGAAGTTTTTCCTTCACTACTGTCATTATCTTAGTGAGGAGTAACGAAAGAGGCTTGGTTGAACATTTACTGGAACCCGCAATGTATCTTTGTTTGTAAGGATTCTTATGAAGTTTCGGAATCCAATATATATAAGGTAGTTCAAATTCATTTTGGCTCTGTGGAATATTAAAAAAATTCAAAACTGACATATGATTTTGAAGAATTTCTTCCTTAGACAGGGAAGTATGAGTATAAGTAGAAATGCCACTTGTAGAATTAAATCTTCTAGAATACAATTTATATAACGAGCCTTACAAGCTTTGTCGGCAGGGACCAGTACGTAATGATCATGTAATCTATCTAATTCTTTTTTCACTTCTGGTTTATTGAAGCACTTTTGCAAATGATTAATAACAAGTTAAGTAAATTGTTATATTTTTATTAAAATAAAAACAAAGCACCTGTCTATGATGTTAAAAACCATGGACTTCCAGTTTATCTAAGGGAATGGTTGAATAGAGTTTTGAAAAATCGAATAATAGAGGCAAATTGAAAACATAAGGAAAGTATAATTTCATAAAAGAATCAACACTTGAGCACCCCGAGAACCTTGACGCAGAGATGTTAATTTTAAAATCTTATTTCAAAATTCATTGAAATATCCACTCAACGACAATGCCAATAATTCGCAATAAAGTTTTTTTTTTCTTTCACCAAAGAAAGTGGAAGAACATCAATGATTGCGAACCTCGAAGCAAACCTGGACTCCCTAAATAAGGGACCCCTTTGGCTGGTAATAAAATCAAAAAATTAAACTATACATCTATTTGACATGTATTTTTTACACTCATTAAAACATTAATGGAGTTCCATAAATTTTGGTAGAAGGGGGGGGGGGGTGATCACTTATACTAAATCAAAAAGTTGGGGATATTTAAATCGAAGGATCTTATGAACGTCTAAAGCAAACGACAACTTAAGGTTTATTGGCAATTTCCTGACGTACACTAGAAAAGAAGGCAACTTTAAAACCTTCACTATTATAGTTTGCAGTTAAGTGTGAAGTTTTGCGTTACGTCACGATCTTTTTCGCCAGATGCTTCCAGCGTTAACAATTTACGTGATTGGTCAACATATATTATCAACATTGACACGGAAATAGTCTGTTGCACGAGCAACCATCAGGGATAAGAAGAAACTTCCAGTTGTAAAGCTTGCGGTTAGGAGGCGTGTACAATTTACCTTGAGCGCAGCTGTCAACTAGATCGTGACGTAACGTAAAACTTCACACTTAACTGCAAACAAATATAAATATCTTTGAGGAAAAAAAAAGTCCCTAGAATAATCAACAGTGAATGTAGTGACTGCTCATTGTTTTATGCTTGAAAACACAGATGGTTTTGGGGAAAAATGAGAAGTTTAACATTTGCAATTTATTTCATCCTTTTTTACCTCTTTAAATGTTATAAAACTGATTACATCAGGCTCCTTCTTTGACATTCTACGCTGCCAGAATAAGGAATTTTCACAATCCCTTAGAGATTCTTGAGACACTGAGTTTAAAGATCAATTCTTTGAAATTTACGCTTTATCGAAATTTCCGAATTAAACATTCCATTACAGGAATGAGTTCATTAAAGATCCGCTGACAATCAATAGTTAAGTTAATAAAGAGAGAAAACCATATAAAGTGGAGCACTGCGGGGACGAAGATCCTTGTTTACCATTGAATTATGTGGTAAAGTAAAAATACGCTATGGATAGAAATGTTGAATAGATTCTATATAAATTATTGATATCTTGGGAAGATATGGAGACATTTCTATTATTACTTGATCGGAACTATTGTAGATCAGAAAAATACCAGCCGTGTCATTTCACCTCGGCTCTGCTGCATGGAATATTTGATTGGATAGAAGTATATAAATTTGGAATTATATAATTTTTAAAGATAATTTTACGCATTTAGAATTTAAAACTAAACAAATATGGAATTTTACTTTAACATTGCGTTTTAATGTTCTTTGTTAGAACACGAATTAAAAGAAAACATTCCAATGGAGAATGCAACGGAGAGTGTCAAAAATGAAGTTTCTGGATATCGAAAAATTCATGGCTACCTGTGTGTCGTTGTTTGCACAATAGGAGTCCTTCTCAACAGTGTTAATTTCTTAGCCTGGACTAGAAAAGTTCCAGCGGTATCCGATACCCTCCTCTCAACCTTAGGAGTGAGCGATGGTTTCTCGGTGTTATCATATTTAATATACAGTGTTTACTTCTTTATCGTCTCTGAACCGAATAAAAACATGTATCATTCACAAAATGGGATGTACTTGGTTATGATAAGTTTCCACGCCTTCCTAACTTTTCATATGTTCTCAAACTGGCTTACTCTCTCTTTAGCGATTATTCGTTATCTTCAAGTATGTAGAGGTTTTACTCAAAAAAGAATGTGTTCAATGAAAATAGCCAAATTTATAACAATCTTTGGTGTTATATCAACTGTCCTGGTAGCTTTGCCGTTTTATTTCTATTATGAAATCTATGACCTGAATGTTGAATCAACAAATCTGAGTGGATTTTGGATCAGAAAAACAGATTTTACTGCCGATCATTCCCATGAGTTCCAAATTCCTCTTTTATGGTTATATGGTGTAGTATTTAAATTGGTACCGTGCACCCTTATGATTCTTCTTAGTGGGAGTATGGTGAATTTCCTTCGTCGAGCAAAAAAGAGAAAAGACCTTCTGACGAATAGATCAATTTATCAAACTAACAGAAGAATTTCCATGGAATATAATAGAACTACTCTCATGCTTGTAACAATTGTTATGATATATGTTCTGTCTGAGACTCCCATAGCTATTTCGGCCTTTTTATCTGGCCTTCAGAGATCTGAAGGCCACTTCTTCTATTTCCTCCTGTACTCTGCTGTTGGGGACATTTTAGACTTGATAACGGTTCTCAATGCCAGTGCCAATTTTTTTGTCTATATAACAATGTGTCATCAATATAGAAAACGTGTAAAAAGGCTCTTCAGATGGTGATATTCCCAGTGCTGTGTCCGCTCAATAGATCTCTACGAGACAATCAAACTATGGATTGATACACCTGTGTCTGGTACTCTGATATATTTGATTGAAAGCACTGATACGGTAGATGAAAAATGGTATACTTTCAATTAATTCCTTGGGATTTATTGAGATATTTCATTCAAAATCAATTTTTATGATATCCCAAAATGAGAAGGGTTTGTTTACGTTGCTAAATCAAAGTACAAATTTAACTTTTTTTCTATACATGATTAAATTACATGTATTATGTTTCGTTGGTGAAATTGTGATGTTTGATCAACTTTATATGCAATTTTGAATGAGAAATCGAAAAGCATTAATGTTGCTGGCAAAATTTTATCTAATAATTTTAACGACATTAACTTGTAGAAAGAAGAAGAAAAATATCATTTTAGAAATAAATGTCTTGTCGTCTTATATCATAATGCAATTTTAATCTCATTTTTCTTATAAATGATAAGTTTTAATTCTCCTGCATATGTGTGTTTTAGCTCGGCCGTACAAAGTCTAGAGAACCTTATGTAAAGGTTGTGTGTCTCTGGTTCATGTACAGTGTATGGGTTAATTTGCAAACACAAATCTTCAAAAATGCTTAATTCCATTCCATTTAGTCCAATTAAAAAAAAAGTTTCAGAAGTTACAATACATTGTGAAAGGTTCGATTTTTTACTTCAACAAACAGTGCTCACATGGTTCCTCGAAACAAAAAAAAAATATTTGCACATCTTATACTCCTTCTCCCCCTGTTCTATAGACCTTATTTCACATGATTCTTTTCATTAAGTGTGGCTTAAGCTGTATCTGAAAACACTCTTGAAAATAATACTTTAAGAAATTAAATAAAAAATAAATGAATAGGCTTCCTTTGAAATTAAAGTGCATTGACTGGAGCAGAATAACCCTGAGACTGTAACGACACTTCAAAAAGATCAAAATGACTCTTCAAACATTTTCAGTCTTATGCTCTTCAGTGATGGGTTGTAATTTATCCTCAGGCGAGCTCTACCCTGTCTGGAATACGTGTAAAATGAGTTATCAAGTCATAGAACAATCAATAACAATACC